CTCGCTCTCCCGTCCTTCAGGCCAAGCTGACGCCAGAATGCTCCAAGCAGTCCGCGCCATTCCCGCCGACCCCCGCCATCCCCCCCCGACCCCGCCAACCCCGCCGACCCCGCAAACCCCGACATCACTACTAATCCCGTCACTATCACCGATCCCGTCCCCGACTTCGAGCCGCAAGCCGCGGAACCTACCGACATTGCTGGAGCTCCCGCTCCCTCCGAAAGCACCACCGTCGCCGCGCCGAACCCGAAAGCGAGAGGCCACGCTAACCACAAGGTCAATGCCGCCAACCCCAAGGGCAAGGTCGATGCGCCAAAGGGCAAGGCCCTTGGGGGTAAGGCTGCCCCTGGCGGAAAGCAGGCCCCTGGCGGAAAGCAGGCGCCGGGCGGAAAGCAGGCGCCGGGCGGAAAGCAGGCGCCGGGCGGAAAGCAGGCGCCGGGCGGAAAGCAGGCGCCGGGCGGAAAGCAGGCGCCGGGCGGAAAGCAGGCGCCGGGCGGAAGAAGCAGGGCGCCGGGCGGAAAGCAGGCGCCGGGCGGAAAGCAGGCGGCAGGCGGAAAGCATCAGGGCGCAGGCGCAATCCGCGGACCAAAGGCGCATCCCGCCCCCAGCCCCGCCCCCAGCCCTGCCGCCGGTCCCGCGGTCGCCCCCAGTCCCAGCTCGGCGGAAAACAAGAAGAAGCCGCTGGGGAAGCAGGTGGGGAAGGTGGGGACCGTCCTCCGCGGATCGTCCGTCATCACCGCAGCCGGCGGCGACGAGAACGCGACGGGCAACGCGATCCTGACCGTCTATAAAAGCGGCGCGAAGATGAACGTCAGGTATATCCTGTCCGTACGCCGCGTGTCTGCGGCCCAGCTGCCGATGGGGTGCAAACGATTAACAGCGGCGCCAGCAACGCGACTGGGCCGGCGGTGGTCGATTTCGCCGGAGCTGATTGGGTGAACACGACGGGCGTTGTTCGCACGCAGGCTGGTGACGTCGTTCTCGCGTCGTCCGTCGCAGAGAACTCGACGGAGGCGGCTGTCGCCGAGGCCGCGGACGACCATCTCAGCTATGCGACGACTGGAGTGTGGGAAGACGTCGACAACATTCGCACGGCCTCTGGCGAAGCCCTTTCCACTGTGATCGATAAAATTCTGGCTGACCCGGGCAGCTTTTACCTGGTTTGTCGCAACCCCGAATTTCAGCGAGGGGGCTGTGCGCGGGCAGTTGCGCAAGGGCACCGGCGCAACTGTGCTTCCGCCAGGCCATCAGCGCCAGTGGGAGCAACGGGGGAAGAAGGCGGGTAAGGGGGAGAAGGGAAAACCTCCCCGCAACTAGCCTTCTCAACCGAGCAGTACACCTCGTAATACTCCCCGATATTGTAGAATATTCATACAAGATCCATCCTCTATTTGGATCTTAGCTTATTTTAGTGTAGCTAGTAGCTATTTACAATGTCATGCATATCTTACTGTAGCTTGATGCCATGCGATTAGATGATTGCTGGTTGTTCTGAAATCAATACCATACCGTATCTTCATACAAACCAGGCTGAACGCAACAGGGATATGCTTTTGTCCTCACCAGCAGAAGTCTCTCGGTACCGTATGTAAGTCTGCTAATGTTGCACGGTAGTATGCTAACTCAAGCCACCCAATCATACATCTGATAGGGTGAGGTGATGATGGTGAAGATGGGAAAAGAAGGCAAGCTAGGCTACGCTATGGCTGGGGCTGAGGATAGGGCCTGGTCAGGGCGACAATTGAAGTGACTGAAAAGTCACGGTCATTATCTGAGCCCAGTCAGAACAACTCAAGATTCATTCCGTGCTGGAATGAGTTGGCAGAGTGTGGTGGTGGTGATGGGGTATGAAGATGGGAATGCAGGTAGGGAAGGCTAGGCAAGGCTATGTCTGGGTAGGGCTGGGTAGGGCTGGGTAGGGCTGGGTAGGGCTGGGTAGGGCTGGGTAAGGCTGGGTAGGGCTGGGTTCATCCCTAGTCAACTCAAAGGTCATCTCAGAGACTCGTGTGCTGGATGAGTTGGCAGAGTGTGGTGATGGTGATGGTGATGGTGATGGTGATGGTGATGGTGATGGTGATGGGGTATGAAGATGGGAATGCAGGTAGGCTCGGCTAGGCCAGGCAAGGCTAGGCTGGATAGGGCTGGGTAGGGCTGGGTAGGGCTGGGTAGGGCTGGGTAGGGCTGGGTAGGGTTGGCTATGGCTGGGTAAGGCTGGGTTCATCCTGAGACACCTCAAAGGTCATCTCGATAACTCCCATGCTGGATGATTGGCAGAGTGTGGTGATGGTGATGGTGATGGTGATGGTGATGGGGTTTGAAGATGGGAATGCTGACAGGCTCGGCTAGGCCAGGCAAGGCTAGGCCAGGCAAGGCTAGGTCTGAGGCGGATGGGGACAGAGCTAGCAGGTGGTTGGTGATGATGGGGGTGAAAACAGGGATACGGGTCAGGCTGGGGTAGGGAAGGGTAGGGTAGGGTAGGGTAGGGTGGGGTAGGGTAGGGTAGGGTAGGGTAGGGTAGGGTAGGGTAGGGTAGGGTAGGGTAGGGTAGGGTAGGGTAGGGTAGGGTGGGGTAGGGTAGGGTAGGGTAGGGTAGGGTAGGGTAGGGTAGGATAGGGTAGGGTAGGGTAGGGTAGGGTAGTGTAGGGTAGGGTAGGGTAGGGTAGGGTAGGGTAGGGTAGGGTAGGGTAGGGTAGGGGCCAAGCACAGGGCCTACGCGGGCTGAGGCCAGGGGCGGGGGAAGGGCAGGGGGGGGTGGGGGCGTGGGCAGGGCAGGTGGGGGAGGGGGCAGGAGCAGGGCAGGGGGGGGGGAGGGGGCGGGAGCAGGGCACGGGGGGGGGAGGGGGCAGGAGCAGGGCACGGGGGGAAGGGGGCTGGGGCAGGAGAGGGAGGGGGCAGGGCAGTGGGGGTGGGGGCGTGGGCAGGGCCGGAGGGGGAGTGGCCGGGGGCAGGGCCGGGGGGGGAGGAGGAGGGGAGAGGGGGGACGAGGACAGGACAGGGCAGGGTGGAGTGCGGCAGGGGTGCAGGACAGTACACTGTGTGCATGTACAGATCACACCACACTCAACGCAGTGAACAGGACACTGTGTGCATGTGCAGATCACACCACACTCAACGCAGTGAACAGGACACTGTGTGCATGTGCAGATCACACCACACTCAACGCAGTGAACAGGACACTGTGTGCATGTACAGATCACACCACACTCAACGCAGTGAACAGGACACTGTGTGAATGTACAGATCACATCACACTCAACGCAGTGAACAGGACACTGTGTGCATGTGCAGATCACACCACACTCAACGCAGTGAACAGGACACTGTGTGCATGTGCAGATCACACCACACTCAACGCAGTGAACAGGACACTGTGTGAATGTACAGATCACACCACACTCAACGCAGTGAGCAGGACACTGTGTGCATGTGCAGATCACACCACACTCAACGCAGTGAACAGGACACTGTGTGCATGTACAGATCACACCACACTCAATGCAGTGAACAGGACACTGTGTGCATGTTAAGATGACATCACACTCAACGCAGTGAACAGTCTGAAAATGCCCAACATAGTCTGGCTGGTGGTATGGCGGGATTTGAGATGGAGTTTTAAGCTTATGGGGAGCAGATGGCATATGGGGGGAGAGCAGATGGCATATGGGGGGAGAGCAGATGGCATATGGGGGGAGAGCAGATGGCATATGGGGGGAGAGCAGATGGCATACAGGGGGAGAGCAGATGGCATATGGGGGGAGAGCAGATGGCATATGGGGGGAGAGCAGATGGCATATGGGGGGAGAGCAGATGGCATATGGGGGGAGAGCAGATGGCATATGGGGGGAGAGCAGATGGCATACAGGGGGAGAGCAGATGGCATATGGGGGGAGAGCAGATGGCATATGGGGGGAGAGCAGATGGCATATGGGGGGAGAGCAGATGGCATATGGGGGGAGAGCAGATGGCATATGGGGGGAGAGCAGATGGCATATGGGGGAGAGCAGATGGCATATGGGGGGAGAGCAGATGGCATATGGGGGGAGAGCAGATGGCATATGGGGGGAGAGCAGATGGCATATGGGGAGAGGGGAGCAAGAGTAGAGTAGAGCTGCACTTGAGCGCTTATGAGGTCATGCTGTCAGCGTTTTGAGGCGCCTCGAAGGAGCTTCGAGCTAATGGGGAATGGTTGGTTGGCGCATGGAGGAGCAAGAGTATGGTAGAGTAGAGCTGCACTGGGGGTCATGCTGTCAGGTCAGCGTTTTGAGGCACCTCAAAGGCGCTTCGATTGGAGCTAATAGGGAATGGTTGGTTGGTTGGCGCATGGAGGAGCAAGAGTGGAGTAGAGCTGCACTGGGGGCCATGCTGTCAGGTCGGCCTTTTGAGGCACCTCTGAAGTGCTTCGAGCTGATGGGGAATAGTTGGTTGCCGCATGGAGGAGCAAGAGTGAACGCTGTAGTGTGAAGGTAATGCTGTCAGCCGGAAGTTGCAAAGAAGCATGGGGGATGGTGGGATTAGAGAGAGGGAGGGTTCTTCGCTTATGGTGAACAGTTGGCATATGGGGGAGCAAGAGTAGAGCTGCAGTGAGGAGAATGCTGTCAGCTGGAAGTGGTAAAATGCAAGGGGGATGGTGGTGGGATGAGGACAAGGGTTCTGAGTGCATGGGGAACAGGTGGCGTCGTATGGGGGAGGGGAGCAAGAGTAGAACTGCAGCAAGGGTCATACTGTGAGTGAGCAGTAGCAAAATGGTGAGTGAGTAAGTGAGTGAGTGAGTGAGTGAGTCAGTGCAGCCACTGACTCACAGTATGAGGGTCATACTGTGCAGCCTGCACAATGGAAAGTACACTTTGAGCTAATTCTTGCTGAATATGCAGACAAAGATACTCACAAACACCTAATCAAAACAACTAACCTAATTTGCAAAATTGCTAAAAGAAAACTACAGCTCACCTAAACTACACTTGGCGCGGAACCTTTTACAGCAATCCGCAAGGGGGGCGAGATCAGGATATCTCAATCACGGGCATTTCCCCCGCACCTCTACTGCTCCCTCCTGCTCCTCTAGCCCGCACCTCCCCAACCTCCCTCGCAACTCTCACCACCCACTCCTCGTCCACCTCCTGACACCGCGCCAGCTGGCACCTCTCGATTCGCCCGCACCCCTGCAGCACGCGCACGACGCCGTGTGTGGTAACCCCGTTACAGGCGCGGAGGGAGAGAGTGGAGAGCAGCGGGCAGTGCGAGGCGATGGTGTGAAGGAGAAGGTCGGAGAGGTGGGTGGCACGGAAGCCAGAGAAGCACATGTGCTGCAGGCGGTGGCAGGATTGGACTAGAGGGATGAGCCCTGCCTCTGAAATTTCCCTGCAAGGAGGAAAGGAGCAAGGGAGGCAGGGAGGGAGGGATGAACTTGTGAGACGCTGTGTGTTGTTACCCCCTACAGGCGCGGAGGAAGAGTGTGGTAAGCTGAAGGGAGGGCCAGTTGAGGAGCCTCAAGGGTGGAGAGCAGCGGGCAGTGCGAGGTGATGGTGTGAAGGAGAAGGTCGGAGAGGTGGGTGGCACGGAAGCCAGAGAAGCACATGTGCTGCAGGCGGTGGCATGACTGCACCAGGGGGATGAGTCCCGCCTCTGAGATCCCCCTGTAAGAAGGGGAGGGGTGACCATGTGGAAGGATAGAGTGAGTGAAAGGGACGGAAGGAAAGGAAGCCAGAGACGCAGATGTGCTGCAGGCGGTGGCACGACTGCACCAGGGGGATGAGCCCCGCCTCTGAGATCTCCCTGTGGGCGGAAAGAAGGGAGGGATGGGCATGTGAGGTAATAGGGTGTAAATGGAAGTACAAGATTGAACCATTGCCACTGCACACCACCCATCACCGCACTGCACCGAGCAAAACCGCATCACACCACCGCATCACACTGCAACGCACCTGCAATATTCCACGGCGAGTGTGGAGAGGTGGGGGCAGGTGGCAGCAGCGAGCAGCAGGAAGGAATCGGAGAGCCCATCCAACCCCTCCAGGTGGAGAAACTCCAGTCCACTCCACCCCAGCTGCAACAGCGGCAGCACGTGTGACTGTAGCCGGTGTGACTGCAAAGTGTGTGACTGTATGTGATGGGCGTGCGTGTCGGGTGATTGTAAGGGGTGTGCAGGTGTGTCAGCAGGTTGTGCAGGGTGTGAGTGCGTGTCGGGTGACTGTAAGGGATGCATTTGTGTGTCTGGTGATAGCACTTGTGTGTCTGGTGATTGTAAGGAATGTGCGTGTGTGTCGGGTGACTGTACTGCATGTAACTGCAGCACATGCGTTTGTAGCACATCTGACTGCAACCCATGGGGATCCACACCACGGGGCGGCAGCAACACAGGAGCACCAGGTCCCGCTGTCGAAATTGGAACAAAAGATGCCGCCCGAGAAGCAGGTGGAGACAAGAGAGACAGAGAGCAGCCCAGCACGTCTCTGGCAAGCTGCAGGCCAGAGAAGCCGGGACTCCATTTGAGCTGCAGCGATCGCAGCCCCACTCCATGCACCACCACTGCCCGCAAACTCTCATCTGTCACGCTCGCCGCATTCCCCTCACCTCCTTCTCCTCTCCTTCCTCTCCCTTCTCCTCCTCTTCCTTCTCGCCTCCCTTCTGTTCCTCCTCCCTCTCCTCCGCCTCCCCTCCCGCCCTCGCACCCACTCAGTGTCAGAGAGTTAATGGTCGGGCAGCCTTTCAGGAGAGCCACAATGCCACGGTCACTCACGCCCTCGCAGTCAACAATCTCAACACTCTCCAGCCGGGCAGCTGTTCGGGCAGCGGTCAGAAAAAACCGGTCAAGTGGGTCCGGGCAGGCCATGACGGTCAGCCTGCGCAGGGCGGGCAGCTGCCCGGCAAACATTTCCAGCCAATGGGCATCGAGCGTGCAGTTGATGATTTTCAAGGAGGAGAGGTTGGGGAAGGAGGCAGCTAGATTGCCACCCCGCCCTGCTGCTGCTGTTGCTGCTACTGTCCCCTCTGCTGCTGCTTGCACTTCTGCTGTCTCTGCCTCTCCACTCACGCTCACCGTTCCATCCAACCCATCCGGCCGCCCTGCACCCTCAGCCGCCCTGGCCCCCTCTAGCCCATCACCACCCTCCATGCCGCCAACCCCTCTCTCCGCCTCTCCTCCCCCCTCGCCCATCCGCACATCTTCCCCTGCCCCTCCCCCAACCCTTTCTCCCTCCCCTCCCCGGATCCACTCCGCTTCCCCTTCCGCTGCTATCCCATCCAACCCCACCCTCCCTTCCGCTCTCCCTTCCCCTTCCCTTCCCCCTGCCCCTTCCCCCGCCCCTCCCCCGCCCACTCGCCCTCCGCCAGGCGTACTGCGCGCTTTCTTGGCCACCACGGACAGACTCAGATCTTCCAGAACCATCCCCTCCAATCCGGGACACGTCACCGCCAGCTCAGCAAACCCGCCACCACTCACGTTCGGACAGCTGGCGATCGACAGCTCCTTCAACGCGTCGCACTTGGCCACGTGGCGCAGAAACCCGTCCGTTAAGTGCGTGCAATTATACACCGTCACTTTGCTAAGCATCGGGTGCCCTTCCACGCACTTCCAGAACTCGTCCGCGGAAGGCATCGGGTCGTGCATCTCGATGTGCCTAATACTGCGCCCCCACGCGGTGATCGTGTCGCACATGTACGTTCTCAATCCCTGGTGAACCTCGAACTCGCCGCAGTTACAGATGGAGAGGTATTCCACCTGCGTGCCGGCAACCTGCTGAATCTGCAGGGGCGTGTTGAGCGAGAGAAGCCGCACGATGGCTGACCCGTCGAGAACATCCGCGTCGCTGATAGGAAACGCGGGGACGGGGGCAGGCGGAGAAGAGGGGGCAGGCGGAGCGGAGGCCGCCACCGCGGCAGCTTGAGGTTGGTGCGGCGTTTCTCCTCCCCTAGTAGTAGCGGCCCCTGTTCCGCCTCCCCCTGCCCTTGTGCCGCCTCCCGCTGCTTCTGTTCCGCCGTCCCCAGCCCCTGTTACTCCCCCCGCCCGCAATCTCCCCCCGCCCGGGCGCTTGTGATGGCGGTCCTCCGCGCGCTGCTCCCGCGGAGCCCCCGGAAGCACGGTGGGGCCGAAGAAGCGGATGCGCAGCGTGCGGATGAGGGGGAAGCGGCGCAGCACGAAGCGGAGCTCGGCTGCGCTCACCTGCGGGGAATGCGGGGAAGGGGAAGCGGGATGGGGGAAAGAGGGGCGGGGTTTGGGGAGAGATGGGAAGGAGGGGAGGACGTACGTTCGAACGGGGTGAGCACCCTTCAAGTTTTTTGGCAGCCCTAATTCTTTCCACTCGGAGTAAGAGGATTCTCTTGGTTAGCGAAGGAGCTGGCTCTATATTTTAGGGTTTCGACGCGATTTACCTTGCCTTGTCACAAGGTACGGATGGGAGTGTGAACAGGGAAAGCATGGGTACTTGCATCTGCATGTCGCAACGCGGCAAAACAATGGGCCCCAAAGGATGATAAGACGGATCACACATTTACCTCACTCTGCATATAGTGCGGCAGCAGTCGCTCGTAGCGAAACCACAGGCGACACACGAGCGACACGGAGCACCGGTCTGCGACGGACAGATGCGAAAATATCTTCGCGATCACGTCCCGCGGCAGCTTGTGAATCGCCGCTGGTTCGTACGCTGGCCATGGCGGCGGCTGGCCTGGCGGTTGGCCCGGTTGTAGGCTCGGACGTCGCTGGCTCGGTGCCGGAGGAAACCGAACCTGATCATGCTGGCTTGGTTGCGGGGGCGGCGGGGGATCCATGATATGACTTCGGCTTACTTTTTGGAGACGGTACTCAGACTACTTTCGCGTACTCGATTTTTTGCGTGAGACGATCTTTTTTTGCGTAGTACTATATACTCGGACCTCGTTCGGAACTATCAAACGGTTGTGATACGACGAGGCTAACAATAGCTGACGGAGTTCTTTTCCCTAATGCTGGTGGCATCTGGATAGCAGAAGGCATCTAAATCCTTGGATGGAGTGTGGGTGGGAGAGGCAGAGGGTCTTGGGTGGGACGGGAGTGACAGTAGAGTCGAGAGAGGCGGGAAAATAGCTTCTGACTGACAGAAGAAGACACACCGATCCCTAGGTGGTGGTGGGGTTTGTGACGCGTCCTCTCAACGATCCTGCCCGTCCCCTCCGCCCCCGCCGCCCCCACTTTCAGAGCAGTTCCCTAGGTCACTGTGAATGCACGCCTTGGGAGTTGTTGTCGAATCCCGAAGAAAGCTAAGGGCCAGATTAAAGTAGACGATCGATCGTCAATCGAGATCGGTTTGCGGTTCGGTTACCGAATTTACTCCACTGTCAATATGCTACAGTGCGCTTTTTGGCCCAATTTTTTGTACAGTGTGTGAATACGACTGATCACTGATCGCGGGAGATGTTAAATCTCAGTACCGATCGTCACGTTTCGCCAATCGACCTGCCCAATAAATTGCGGGGATCGATTTGCAGACGATCCTGCAATGTTTGCACCTGTACCGCGTCTGATACCTTAGCGAGAGCGCTGTGCTGAGGGCGTGAAACCGAAACCCATATGGCGTCTGTGGCGAGCGTCGCCACCGGAATATTGGCCCGCAGCGAAACTGGTTACTGTATTGGAATGGATTCGGTAACTCCGGAACACAACTCTGCTCTTGGGCCTCGAGAAGGCCTACTTCAAAATCTATTGGGTATACACCCTGTTTTGCGCCACACTGACATTCGCCATATTGACAGGCCGGTTGTACTGACATCGATGCGTCCAAATTGGTCCCAGAACATACCGTATAAGCACTTTTGCCGCACGAAACCGAACCCAAAAGCACTTTTTTTTTTCATCAACCGCTGTCTACCGTTCTCCTGAAGTGCATTTCGGTTGCAAGCACCAGCCCGCTGAATCCAAGCACACCTGCGCACTGTAGCCGGGGCTCCCGATTGTTCAAACATCGAGAAACAAGGTGTATTAGATGATGCGTCCACCCACCCACCCATCCATTGACCCCACCAGGAACAACCAGGCCACCAGCAGCACTGTAGATGTCACGTCAAGTCAGTACACCTGATGCTCGTTAGAGCCCCTCCCGGTTGCCTTGTGAACTGGGTCTGTAAGCTAAACCTGCATTTCGCAGGGCATTCGTGAATTTCGTCAGGCGTCCAGCGTGCTTCAAAACTGCACATGGTAACCACCCAGTTTGTCTGATTCGCAACAGTAAGGGGTTGCAGCACTTGTCCTTGCTGTGTGTTTAGGGTTACTAAACGAACGATACAGTAGTGAAACAAGCATGCACAACAATTGTTCTTCGTAGTACAAAACAGTCAAAACTTAAACACCTTCCAATCAACATCCTCCACCTGGCCCCTCATCTCCAATCAACACACAGAACGAAACACGCACAAATGGGCACAGGGAGTGAACACTTGGGCTCCCAGCAAAATGCCTTCGACACCTTGCGAAGTCTGCTCCACCCCCCCCTCACAGACGCATCCACTCAGTCGCGTCCACATACCCATCCATCACGGCGCCCACACCGGCGTCAAGCAGCTCCTGACGGCGAGACGGACGGGTCATCCAGCCGGGCAGCACATGGCCGCGCGGACGAGGGGTCTTAGGCGTGGGAGTTGCGCCCGGGGAGGGTACGGGCTGAGGCGCCACGTTGAGGTTGAACGACGGGCTCGCCCGCTCCATCCGCACGATTATGATGGGGTTGCGGATATCGAACAGATGGCACAGATCGCGCGGCGTGATGCGGGTGGCCCGTCCATATCCGATGAGCGTCTCGCATGCCGCCCGGGCAGTGCGCCGCGCTTCGCGGCCCACGGGGTCGGCGTCGTCGTAGACGGCTTGCATGGTCGTCGGCGCCTGCCAGAGCACGCCCTCCTCCGGCTCAATCATGGGCTGTCTCGCAGCGCCCTCGGCGCACGTCGGCTCGCCGTCGTCGATGGCGACGTACTCTGCGGTCGTCATCGCCGCATTCCCGAGGGCGAGCCAGCTAATGAGCGTCCCGATATCGTCGACGTCGTCGTCGGGCTCGATGTCGGGGTAGACGGCGGGGGTGGGCTCGTCGTCGTGTACATGCGTCAGCTCAAGGGACCACGAGAGCGGCAGACACCCCGTGCGCCACCAGCACCGTTGAATGGTGCGCGCGTCGACGGAGGTCCACGCGTCCGACAGCCACGCGAGGACATCGCGCAAGTTCAGGCGGAAACGCGCGACGGCGGAAGTCGCGCCGTAGCCATTCCACAAGGCTGAGAAGGCCCGCAGCCAATGCTGTCGGTAGCGGGCCTTTACGGTGGCTATGATGCCCTGATCGATCGGCTGTGTGAATGCGGCGGTATTCGGCGACAGGAAGACGAGCCGCACGTTGCTCATGCAGGTCGTCTGCATCCCGCAGACGATCTCGCTCAATGCGAGCTCAGAGCGGAGCATGTGGCTGCTCCCGTTGTCGAGCAGCACCACGATCTTGCGACCTTCGGCGTACATCGCATCATTGAGCTGCGATATGAAATGTGTGAATAACTGCAAGGACGGGAAGGGAGGGGAAGGCGGAATGTACATGGGAACATTGTAAGCACAAGCACATTCCAGACAGGTGTCATATTACGCGCAATTTATGCAAAGCATCAAGAACACACGAAACAATGAAACATTACGAGCTTACCGGCGAGGTCATCCAGCCTTTCGCGTTGTGCCGCCAGTAGCAAAGGGATTCAGGGTCATAATCCGGGCGGAAATCATGCGGCCGCTTCGCCTTACTGATCACGAGCGGTCGGAATACGAGGCTCCCGTCAGCATTGACGAGCAATGCGACGGTGAGCCGCTCCTTCGATACGTTGCGGCCGGGAATGCGGCTGTTGCTGTAAGTGCGCCGAGGGAGGACGGACAGCCAGAGCGCCGTCTCATCGAGGTTGAAAGTGCCCCGCGGGGTGACATCGAGATGCGTGAGGAGTTGCGGCAGCTTCTCACGTGCGTGGCGCACGGCGGCCATGTCCGCGCTAGCCGCCTCGCCTTGTGCTGCACGGCACCTCACTCCCTGGCGCCGCAAAGCACGGCGCACCCAGTCGACGGAGCAGCGGAATGTGGGCGGAATGCCCATGTTCCGTGCCATCGTCGCGACATGGTCGCGAATGGTCTGTAGCGTCAGAGGCACACTAGTGGGCCCTGCGTTTGCGATCCACCGCGCCATGGCCTGCTCCAGCTCAGGCCATGCGCCACCTCGACGGCGCACTTGGTTGTCGCCGGTTGCCGTGACAGCCCATCGCACGGCGCTCTTCAATATGCGGCCGACAGTGGAGCGATCTGGGCGCAATCCGTACTGCGAGTAACACCACCTCGCCATGTCAACATGACGTAGGCGGTGGTTATCGACGTGGTGCGCGCAAATAGTGCGCTTGATATGGAGCGGGAGCTGCTCCCGTCGATTAAAGCGGGGCATTGTGAGCGGCTGGGGTGTGAGAGAATGCTGACTTAGTGAATTAGTTGTTCGAATTTTATCGTCACATGTCGGGCGTGCTGGGCAAGGCTAGGGCCTGTTCTTTGTCGCGTGTCACGTTTGTGTGGTTGGTGTTCGTTCCATGCACCTGGCTTGCATTTTTTATCGTGTGGTTTGGTAACCATACCCTCGAATGTCTGACGTGGGGTGGGCGAACAACGCCTGGCTGGTAATGCGCTTGTACCTTGCAAGTCTCGAGTTACACGTGGCAACGTGAATCTGACCAAATGCATGTTACACGCACGATGATCCTTGCTCAAGTGGCGGCCCAGATGGGCGAATGCGTTTACGAAACCATAGTCGTTTCGTCCATTCATTTAGCCTCTCTGACTCCTGGCCTAGAAACAAGGCAAATGTGGGTCGGCATGGCTTGTTCGGGACTGCACATGCATTGATGGCCGAGTCGCGTGTACTGTTGTCAGCCACCCATGTGCTTGTACTGTGGGAGCAGCAAGCAGGGGTTTCCAGCTCAGGGGCAGCGTTTCCATCCGTTGCATGGCAATTCCGCGTGCATTGGTCGGGCATCATGTGTACACCTGGGCTCCGATAATTTCAATTAGTGGGCACTGAGCAGCGTCCTTGTCGTTTTGCCCTGGGGTTGAAATTGGGGGGAACAAAAAAGTCCCCTCCAATTTCAACACTCTCACAAAAGATATAGGGGTTTCTGACTCTTCTGAACTCTTTGAGAGCGGTTGTACTCGGTTTAGGATATTGGAGGGTTGTTGGGTGGACCGAACCGCTCTCAACCAAGAGCCACAGGCGACGACAAGGGCCTTGATATTGGAGGAAATGAAATTATCGGAGCCCAGGTGTAGAAGACGTGCTGTACTGACTTGTAAAGTGTAGTGTCGGGCAAATTGAGGCCAATAATAAACGGGACGCGGTCCCACGTGGTGATATCCTGCTTACGTAAACCACGGAAAGAATGGAATCACGTGGTCACGTTTTTTTTTCGCCTGCCTCAAGTCGAAACACTTCAAAACGACCGAAAGGCAGCATTGTGTGATCAACGGCGGCGATAGAACGTAAGCTATCAGCCGTTGCCCGAGCTGGGTCGCAAAAGGGGCGGGCGAAGTGCTGAGATCAGTTGGAAAATTCGTCAGCCGGTTGGACTTCATTATTGGCCCTGAAGCTCGTCCCTCTCCATCCATCCAGCCAACCAATTGGGCTTGGGTAGTAGAAGTGTTCCTGCTTAGAGGCTCTCGTTGAGAGAGTTCCATTTCCCCCCTCAGTAGAATTTTCCGATATCGCTTAGGGTTGGCCCGACCCCTATAGTCCCGTTTTTGGCGGGAAATTTTGCTGCTTGACCGAATCATTGCACGAATCAGCTTCACAGCCAATCAGAGGCTCCAGATCAAACCATCCCAACATTCAAAGAATGAAAAGAGATCATCGATTCTATATTTGAACCTTTTAATTGTAATTAATTGTTTCTCTTGAACGCGACTAATTCTCAATCCTGTCGCGCTATCTCCAGCGCGATCGACGATGACATCTCATTTATCTCGCTTACAGGGTAGAAACGAAGTTTTTGGGTTACTATTCGACCCCCTAACCATATTTGATTCTGTTTTGTTTTGACCGTTAGTCATGCGACATTGATCAACGTGGAAAACCGTGCGGCTGGAAGTTGAAGCAAGCGCGGTCCAAATCTACGTAAATGTCAAACTCCAGAAACTAGTAGCGAAACAACCACTCTTCGTGCAATTTTCCTGAACGCGACTATAAGTATCGCGTTTTGCCTGGGGTTTGAAGGGTTTGCCACATAGTCGACGCGCGGCGATGTTGATCCGTGGGACTATAAACGAGAATACTTGTATTTTTACGAAGGCAAGAAGACACAACCAAGCGAAGGAGAAGGGAGCTGACCTGCTGGCAATGCTGCCGCCGATTCCCATCCCGAAGCCACCTGTTGCTTCATTTGTTTGTTGCCCCACCCAGTCACAAACAAAATCACCGCCGAGCACTGTGCATTCACCTCGCGTGTCACCGTCATTTCATCACCGCTGCTTTCGCCATGCATCCGTGCAACTCCATGGTGCGATTGTCTTTGTCTGCGGCGTATCCGTGCACGCGACTCTACAGTACTGTCCTCCCCTCCACCGCATCCATCCTCGCCCCCCTCCCCTCCCTCTCTTCCCTTTGCTTTCCCTCGAAAGTTGAAACCATCTCCCTCCATCCTCCCCTTCGATGCCGCCATCTCATGCCCTCCATTCGAATGTTTGAAGTCTGCTGTCTCGAATCCCTTCTCGGATTATGTCCGAAATCCTTCGGGGTTTGCTCGTTTTCGCTCAAAACCATCGGTTTTCAGCGAAAACCGATGGTTTTCGCCCAAAACCATCGATTTCTGCTCATGTGACATGTCCCTCGGTTTCCGCTCACATCCCTCGGTTTCAGCTCAAAGCTCTACGGTTTCTGCTCCAATCCCACAGCTTTTGCTCACATCACTCAGTTTATGCTACTTCTTGGCGTCATTTCTCCTTACATTGCTTCATACGCCACCCTAGTCGCTAGCAGAGGCTGATGGATCCCATGCAGCCGCGGCCGTCGCAACCATTGCAAGTCCAGAGTGTGCGAATTAATCCGCACACACCGAGCCAGCTTTCGCCGCGCCCACTAACGAGCCAATCACCGCCATGGCCGGCGTACGAACAGGCGGCGATCCACAAGCTACCGCGCGACGTAATGGCGAAGATATTTTCGCATCTGTCCGTCGCAGACCGGTGCTCCGTGTCGCTCGTGTGTCGCCTGTGGTTTCGCTACGAGCGACTGCTGCCGCATTACATGCAGAGCGAGGTAAATCAGACCCATAGCTTCACAGCGGGAGCTCCACTACCGCGCACCAGACCATGCAGAGGGCCGTAAGCCCGCATCTGCCGCATTAACATCACGCAGAGCGAGGTGAATCATGCTGAAGGTTCGTGCTTCGAGTTCACCATCATCGCCGCAACTCCATGCTGCAGGCCGAAATAAATTGCGCTGAAACCCTAAGATTTTTTTCTTTCTCCTTTTTCTTTCACAAAAGAAAAAAACAGGTTTGTCGCTACCCGGATTCCAACTTCCCCCTCCTCATCTCTCCCCAACCCCCCATCCCGCTTTTGCTCTCCCCGAGTTCCCCGCAGGTCAGCGCGGCGGAACTCCGCTTCGTGCTGCGCCGCTTCCCCCTCATCCGCACACTGCGCATCCGCTTCTTCGGCCCCACCGTGCTTCCCGGGGCTCCGCGGGAGCAGCGCGCGGAGGACCGCCACCACAAGCGCCCGGGCGGGGGGAGAGTGCGGGCAGGGGGAGTAACAGGGGCTGGGGACGGCGGAACAGAATCAGCGGGAGTCGGAAGGGCCGGGGGAGGCGGAACAGCGGCCACTGTTACTAGGGGAGGAGGAACGCAGCACCAACCTCAAGCCGCCGCGGCGCCGGCCTCTCCTGCCCCCGTCCCCGCCTTTCCTATCAGCGACGCGGATGTTCTCGACGGGTCAGCCATTGTGCGGCTTCTCTCGCTCAACACGCCCTTGCAGATTCAGCAGGTTGCCGGCACGCAGGTGGAATACCTCTCCATCTGTAACTGCGGCGAGTTCGAGGTTCACCAGGGGTTGAGAACGTACATGTGCGACACGATCACCGCGTGGGGACGCAGCATTCGTCACATCGAGATGCACGACCCGATGCCGTTAGCGGACGAGTTTTGGAAGTGCGTGGAAGGGCACCCGATGCTTAGCAAAGTGACGGTGTATAAGTGCACGCACTTAACGGACCGGTTTCTGCGCCACGTGGCGCGGTGCGGCGCGCTGAAGGAGCTGTCGATCGCCAGCTGTCCGAACGTGAGTGGCGGCGGGTTTGCTGAGCTGGCGGAAAAATGCACCGGATTGGAGGAGCTGGTTTTGGAAGATCTGAGCCTGTCCGTTGTGGCAAAGAAAGCGCGCCGTGCTCCTGGCACAGGGCGGGCGCGCGGACGAGGGGCGGGGGAAGGAGCTGGGAGAGGAGAAGGGGAAGGGAGAGCAGAAGGGAGTGTAGGGTTAGATGGGAGAGCGGCGGAAGGGGAAGAGGAAGGGATACGGAGAGGGGAAGCAGAATGGGGAGGGCGCGCGGCAGGGGAGGATGTGCGCGTGGGCGAGGGGGGAGGAGAGGCGGAGAGAGGGGCTGGCGGCATGGAGGGTGGGGATGGGGCGGTGAGAGTGAGGGGAGAGGTAGAGGCAGCAGAGGCGCAAGCGGGAGCAGAGGGGACGGCAGCAGCAACAGCTTCAACAGGACGGGGAGGCAGTCTTGCGACATCCTTCCTCAACCTCTCCTCTTTAAAACTCATCAACTGCGCGCTCGATGCTCATTGGCTGGAAATGTTTGCCGGGCAGCTGCCCGCCCTGCGCAGGCTGACCGTCATGGCCTGCCCGGACCCGCTCGACCGTTTTTTTCTGACAGCTGCCCGAACAGCTGCCCGGCTGGAGAGTGTAGAAATAGTGGACTGCGAGGGTGTGAGTGACAGAGGCATCGTGGCTCTCCTGAAAGGCTGCCCGACAATCAACTCCCTGACTCTGAGTGGGTGCGAGGGGGGGAGTGGAGGCGGAGGAGAGGGAGGGGAAGGGGGTTTGGAAGGAGATGTGGGAGGAACGGGTGGGGGTGGTAGCAGCAGTAGAGCAGCGAGGGTGACGGATGAGAGTCTGAGGGCGGTGGTGGTGCATGGAGTGGGGTTGCGATCGCTGCAGCTCAACTGGAGCCCCGGCTTCACTGGCCACCAGCTCACGAGAGACGTGCTGGATGCAAAACGGTGGTCAACCGCCTTCGATTCGAATTTTTCGAATTCCTCGAATTTCCCAAATTTCCCGAATTCCTTGAATTTCCCGAATTCCTCGAATTCCTCGAATTCCTTTGAGGAGACTGCCTTCGAGGCGCCGCAAGTGGCGGCGTTGGCTCGAGATGGGTTGACTCAAGATGTATCCGACACTCGAGGCATG